AATCCCCAGGGCTTCGAAAACCCTTTCTTTCCATTCAGTACCAGGCCTTCCGTGGCAGCCTCTAAGTAGCTCTTTGACCCGAATGCGGCACGCGCTCCTTGGCGCGCGCAGAAAGTCACTCCTCCACTCTGCCAAAGGCGACGGGTGGGGTGGGCCAGGGGAACCACGCGCGGGACCCCAGGGCACGGCAGCTGCACCAACCGAGAGCGAACCGAGTTCGCCACAACACACACCCACACACCGAACTTCTCCACCCACCGCTGGGATACCGTGAGACCGCGCGAGCGCAATCATCCGGGAAGAACCGGGGCCTCCGAATTCCTAGGATCTCCCTTGGCACGCACAAGAAAAGTGATGCATCAGGCTACCCCAGACTTTGCGCATGCTTCAGTGCCGCCACCATATCTCGACATGAGCGTAACCTGTTCATAATGGAAGCGCAGTCGGTCCCAAAACAGATGGACTGTTTTGGCAACTCGCTTTGCCCAGGAGTCTGCCTTTTGGCTCCTCGGAGCCAGTGCGGCTCGTGGCCACGTCTGACCGTCGCCGCCCACGGCATGTGCGATGCCGCCCGCCAGGTCGGAATCGCGCGCTCTCCGATAGTATCGTCGATCTCGTTTCAGATCCATCTCCGCAACTCAGCGCAGCGCTGACTTGCCTTCCCCCAACCCCATCTCACAGCTGATAATGATCTGGATGCACGGCCCCATGAGACTCAGGGCCGTAGAGAAGGCGCGCGCATCGCTCGTGAAAAAGGGAAACCAGCGGGCCACTGCGCCCAACCTGCGCGGAGGAGCCAACGGATGCCACTGTCGTTGGCGGACTCATCGACGCACGCCGCGTCGCCCAGCACTCCGCAGCCCCTCCCCCCTCAGAGGACGGGGGCCATCGGGGCCCCGCATTCGATGGAAAGCCGCCCCGGGTCTCTGCAGGCGCCACTGCCCCCCATCATCAATGACAACCTCTCGCTGAACGCGGTCGACACGCCCGCGTGCCCCAGAGCGCTGAGACATGAGCAAGCTGACCCCAAGATGATCTCCAAAACTAGCAAGCCCGTCTTGCATGGGCTCCGCGCGAGGCACCCGCAGGGCGTTGAACCCTCCTGCGCGGGCCCTCAGTAACCTCATTTTTGGGCGTTTCTTCCGCGAGGGTTAGCACGGCCCCGATGGTCGCTGAATCCGCGCTGACCCAGACGCCCCAAATAACGGCGCCCCATTCCAAGCGCCCCCGCCGGACCCGGGGCCGCCCCCCGCCCTGGAGACGCGACCGCGGCCGCGTCGTCGACGGCCTGCTTCGCCCTGGCGTCGGGCGCCCAAGCCTCAAACGCCGCTCTAGTCCGCATCTGCAGCGGCGGCGCGTTGGCCGGGGAGCCCAGACCAAGCTTCTCGACCTCAATCAACAAACGCTGCGCGGCGCGACTGCGGCATTGGATGGGCCCAAAGAAGATTGCGACAACTGATGCTCTCCGCTGGCCCAGCTGCGCGCCGGCCGCGACGACGACGACGACCCCGCGCATTGATGCTGGCGCGGGGCATCCACGACCAAAGTTCGGTAAAGTTATCCTCGGGAGCCTGAATGCCCTGAATCTGCTCGCCCTGCCCCTGGTCGTCGCAGGCGTCTCGAACGCCCCATTGCCCCCCCCCGCCTCCATCTCGCAATATAATCCGGAGTTTCTGGCGGCCCGGGCGCGCGCGGGCTCGAGCTCCCTCGGGGCCCAAGGCGGCTTTTTCCTCGGTGCCTGCTCGGAGCGCGCAGACATGGGCGTCTTGCGAGGCGAGTTCAAGTCGCCCCTCTCCAGCTCTACGCGCGCGAACACCGACTGGGGTGGCGTTGGCGGAACTCTAAGGCGCGCGGCCTGCGCGCTCGCATCGTCAGCCGCAAGAGAAATACGCGACCTCGGCCATCCCGCTGCAGATTTGCCATGATCATATAGAAGTACTGCGTCGATCAGAGCCGTCGCCCGCGAGCGCCCTGCCACGACGGCGGCGCCCAGCCCGAGCGGCGAAGACGCCGCCCCCCCATCCGCCTTCATCGCTCTCTTCCCAGAGTAGACCGGCAGCCGCGCTTTCCACGCGCGCGCGCGCGCGAGCGGCGCGAGCGCGACGCGCGCCCGCTGAGAAATTTGCGCGCGCGAGCGGCCTCGTTCGATAAAGCCTGCGTCCTTATCGTCAGCCTCCAACTGTCGCCTTGCCCCCCTCCCGTCGCTATCGCCCGCCTCGCCCCCCCCCCCCCCCCCTCCGCGCGCGCCGCGACCTGTTGAGGAGGCGGGGCTAGGATGGAAACGACGCCGACGAGCGCCCTGCCCCCTCCGGGCCTCCGCGAAAAAATGTCGAAAACAACAATTTGCAATGTTCTGGCAGCGCCGCGCAAGCGCCGCGCGCGCGCGCCCCGCGGATGCAGCGGACAACCGGGCCTCGACGTGCCAGAACTGCGCGACTGTTTCAGCGCGCGCGGGGCCCAGTCGCGCGCGCCGATTGCCGCGCGCTTCCTGAACTCACTCGCGGCAAACCGAACGCGCCCCAGGTCCTTGGGCGCGAACGCCCGCGCGCTCGCCCACTCCTGACCAGGGGCCCCCGCCTGGTCAGCGCCGCGTCCTCTAGGGGCTTCATCGAGGCCTGCATCTGAGGGGGGGGGCCGGTCGTTGTGCTGCAGGTCCACTTGCGAGCTTTCCCTTCTCCCTTTCCGAAAGGCCACGCCGTCCCCGCTCCTCCTGCCAAGACCTGACCGCGACCTGGCCCGGACAGGCCCCTGCGCTGCTGCGCGCGGGGCCGCCCCGAAGATCGCCCCCCCGGCGGAAAATGCGAGCGCCTCCGGGCGACCCGCCGGTCGGGCCCCCAGAGAATCTTCGGCGGGCCCCGGCCCCCCCGGGCAGGGCCTGCACAGGATGGCCCCGGCCTGAGCAGCCCGCGCGCGCATCCTCCAGCCGGGCGCTGCACCTCCCCCCCATCAGGCCCCCCCCCGCGACCGCGCTCTCGCTGGAGCGTTCCCCCGAACAACCGCGTTCCTCTTGCACTGCTTCCGTCGGCCATCGAGGGGCCTTCCTGAGGCGCCCCCGCGAGGCCCTGCTCGGCCAGGCCGCGGGGCACGGCGCAAGTCGGCTCGGCTTGCTCGTTTAAAGCTGAGCCCGCCGCGCGAGCCCCTGGCCTATCCAGCGAGCGCCGCCGCCCTTCGGGCGGCTCAGGCGCTGGGCCGATCGGCAGATTGTCGGGGAACGGTCTCGGCCTAACAAGAAATTGGGTCTGGACCAAGTGCGAATCCATCCTCAGCGTGGGCTTCGCAGGCCAACGACTCGGCAGTTAGATCGCCTCGCATCAGACCCCCGAGGACACCGGCGCCACCTGGCGCGGGGGAGACATCGATCGCCGTCCACTCCTTGCACATTATGCATGTGGGCTGTGCCGTCTGGCTAATGACGCCCCCGAGCTGTTCTAGGACCTCGCAAGCTCCAGTGCAATCTGCAATCGCATTGGCGCCCCCCTATACTGGGCTGCCCCCCCACCGCGCATAGAAATTCCCCAAGCTGCATCAGTTTGCGGCGCCCGCAGGCGCCCGCCCCATCCCCGGGAGGGCCTCCTCGAATGGCGCGCCACACACGCGCATATATGTGTATGTGTATATATACATACATATATACACACACACGCACGTGTCCTCGGCATGTGCTCGACGGGCCGGATGATTTACTCTCGCCAGCGGGCAACGATCTGCGCGCCGATCTCGCCAAGATACACACAGCCAAGAGATACTGCACGCGCGCCTTGATACTCTCGGGGGAACCGGTTCCACCAGACTCCCCGAAAAGATAAAAGCACGAGACAGATTCCAGACAGCGGAAGTCTTGCCCTTATGAGGCGGCGAAAAGAGGGTGGTTTGCGGTGGCTGGACGCGCAGCGAACGGAGACCGCGGGAGTCTTGAGCAACGATGTTATGGAAGCGGCCCTCGACGACATTTGGAGGCAGTCAAGTCGCGCTCGAACGAAGGCCAATGTATCCTCTGCATGTGCTCGACAGGTCAGATGATTTACTCTCGCCAACGGGCAACAATCTGCGCGCGCCGATCTCGCCAATATACACACAGCCAAGACAGACTGCACACGCAACTTCATACTCTCGGGGAAACCGGTTCCACCAGACTCCCAAAGACGCATTGTCGTCCAAAGGTAACACCTGATATGCCGCAAATAGCCCACGCCCCAACACAGCTAACGTATCGCCACCTATTTGAAATTAGACAGGATGGCGTTCGCAGAACATGTGAGGATTCCGTCAACCAGTTTGCGGAGGGAGGGTTCAGCTGGCTTAGTTCGATGCAGCCCTGAGTTGTCGTGTCCCTGGGGACGCGCGCGAGGCCATCCCGAGAAATCGCGCGCATGAGTCCCAGAACGCTTGCAGGGCAGGCTGGAGAGACAAACATCTGCTGAGACGAACCAGGTTCGTTTCCCCCAAGGCACTCCACTAGTGCAATAATCAAGCACGGCCACATCGCATCTGAGAGGCGTGAAACCTGCACCCAGGCAGGCATGCTCCAAATACGACTGGCATGAGGGTTCTCGATTGTCACCGGAATGTCCATCGACCGAGCGAGACGAGAGAAGCCAGCGGACAACGAACTCAACTCGTTGGCCTCCTGAATTTTGGACAACGCGCGGTCGGGCAGTCCAAGGACACCACCTGGGTGCTGTCGAGACATGTCGAGACCCCATCCTTCCCGGTTTGCCATCGAAAACGCGGCGCACGGGGTTCCGAGCCACAACGCTCTCACCAGTTTCGAACGGATCCAGCCGCGGACGAGGCGAGCCAGAGGTCGATTCGAGAGGTCGCGGGGCGGACCGAAGCGGATGTCGATGGCAAACGCAAGGATATGGCAGACCAGGAGCAGATCGCCATGCGGCTGACCAGCGGGCCTGCCCAGCAAAGAGTTCTAGTGCAAATCCATCTGGCGGGGTAGCGAACAAGCTCGGGATGGCACGAGGATCATCGATGATAAACGGTCGGCGCACCGCGCGGCCGCCTCCTGAGCGCGGTTGTCTAGCTGCCGCTGCAACTGCTCGTCCAGGCGGCCGGCCTTGACGTGCAGGCGGAGGGGCGAGTCCGACTGCCATAGACCCCGCTTCTTCACTCCGGCGATGTCGCGCCCGCCCCCGAGGATCTCGTGGTCGGCGCCGCCGTGTCTCAGCTGGTGCAAGGGCGCGGGCCGCAGGGCATCGATCGGCAGCGCGTTAACCGCCTGCTGGAAGTGACCGCGCCGCTGCGGGTAGGTCAACCCGACGATGAGGTCGTCTAGACTGCCGCGGGCCTTGATCGCCTCGAAGACGCGGCTGACCCAGAGGAACTCCGCGTTGTCGCGAAGCAGGCTCTCGTCGAACACGGCGGTCTTGCTCGGGGCGCCGCCTTCGATCGGGTTGAGAAGCGCGCTCCGCTTCCGAAGGGCAGCGGGGCCCCAGCGGGGCGGCGCCGCCAGGTCGCGGCAGCGCGCGCGCAGCAGCTCCGACGGGCGGCAGTAGAACAATAAGTTCAACAGCGTCAGCCAGGCCGCGTCGAAGTGGCCGAGGGCTTGCATCTTGACGATCTGCAGCGCCACCACCTTCCACGGCAAGGGGGGCCTCGCCCGGGACGGCGCTAGCTTTCCAGAGCCATCCAGCGCCCGGCGCGCCCGCGGCGGCTCCGGAGTCCTGCGAGTGACTCGAGGATCGCAGAACACGAGGTCGGCCAGCCGAGCCGAGGCCTCGTCCACGACCTCGCCGTAGAAGAAGAGGTCGCGGTAGGACACCACCGCGTGATCCAGCTCGGCCACTGTGCTGAGCGGGAGCGCCGCGCTGCGGGCCCACTCGATGAAGGCCTGGACCATCTCGTGGTACCTCACCTGCTGCAGCAAACGCACCACGCTCTGCTCGAGCAGGGACTGTTCCAGAACTGGCAGCACCGGAGCCCGCGCATGCTGGCGCCCACTCGACCGACGACGGTCGTCGCGTCGGGCGCTCTCCAGGGCCCCGCGGCTGAGGGCGCCGCGACGGGCCGTCGCGCGCCCGAGGCTGGAGGCCTGGCCGGGCTGCTGGGGGCGGGCTGGCGCTGCCGCCGGCCGCGGCCGCGCCGGGGCCAGGCCTGCGCGCGCCGGGCATGGGCGACCCTCGTGGGCCGTCGGAAGCTACGCTGCCAGCGGCGCCGCGCCCGTCGAAGGCGTCGCCGAAGAGGCGGCCAGCGGCTCGGACGCGACGCTCGCGGGCGTCGGCAGCAGCGGCGCCCCGAGCCCCCGCGGCGCGCGCGCGCCGTGGCGGATCGGGCACCGCTCCCGAGTCCCGGGGGAGGTCCCGAGCTTCGTTGGATGGCAGGTTCTCGAGCCAGTCGAACGTTGCGTCAGGGGGGATCACTAGCGTTGTGCTCTGAAGGAACCCATCGCCACGCATGGCAGGAAAACGACGCGAGAGACAGTTCAGCATGTTGCCGACAAATACGCATCATCGCCTTCGTCGACGAGCGGCCCCTCGTCACTGCCAAGAGGGCAGCCAGAGTTCCCGAGGTGGAGGAGACGACAGCCGAATGACGCCAGGGACCTGGTACATCGCGTCGTCGACCACGCCATGGCCCGACCTTCGAAGCAAACCTGAGGCTCGGACCGGGCCCACGCTCGTCGGGAGGCGGCGAGGTGCCATTCTCCATCCCGGACCGACGAGGGCACAGAGCGGAAGGAGTCCGAGGCAATCCAGCCCAGGCGACGAGGACGACGCAACCCCGCGGTCACCGTTGACCGTGGCCCCAGGCACCGAAGACCCCGAGACCCCCCCGGCGAGAGAGGCGGTCTTGGAAACGTTCGAGGCCAGGGCTCCATCGGCGCGAGGCGAATCCGCGAGGGGCGACGAGGGGCAGGGGGGCCCAGCAGAGTCACGAGCAGGACCCAGCTGGGACGACGAGGAAAAGGAGGCGTCGAAGCCCAAGCCGGGCGGCCATAATCATGCGGACACCATTTCTTTTCTTCGTCCCGGGTGAACCTCCAGCGCTCGTTCTGCTTGCCAAACTCGGCGACCACGAGGGGGTCCAACTCCCGAGCGCAAATCCCTATCCCCAGCTTGAAGCGTCAACCACTGAGACCCCTGAAGACCAAAGGGGCTGCCAGATCACGAGCCGCAAGAACGACGAGATGACTGGCCCACAGAAATTCTCTTTTGACTGCCGGCCAGAGTGCCACCGCCGCGTCTCCAGCGTGCTCTATGAACGAGCAGGCTGCGTTGAAAACACAGAAGCTCGCGACGAACGGACGCCCAGGTGGTTAAATGGGACGCGAGGATCTCAATATTTTTCCCGAAGTGTATCTTCTCCGAACAAGCCCCTGAAAACCAATGGAGTTTCCAGCAAGTGACCTGATTGATCCCAACCTCGGCTGAATCATCTGAGAAAGTCCATCCTGGGGCAGTACCTCCTCCAGTGTCCCCCACCGGGTGCGCAGGTAATTGGGCGCGAACCAGCTCGGCTGACACCGAGCGGGCGGCATCGCCAGCAGACTGCTGAGACTGACTGAGGGCAATGAAGTTAGCGACGTACTCTGTGCGCATCATAAGTCCAAGGGGGGCAGGTCGGCCATCGAAAAGGGCGCTGTCTCTTCGGACGTCAGGGGCTCGCAGCGAGATAGCCTTCAAGGTATACTGCATTATCAAAAGGGTCAGCTTCCAGCCCATCGGGGTCGCGGCGAACAAGGGGGCGATGTAGGTCGAAGGGGCCGCTGAGACCCCACCCACCTCCGAGGCGCCCACGTGCCCAGCCCGAATGCGAGAAAGCCCAGAGAAACGCCGGGGCCCCTCCTGAAGAGCTAAGTTGTAGAAAGCGTTCGACACGTCAACGCCTCCAACGCAGATAGGCTCGCTGGAGTCGACTCGAATAAATGAAAACGAGGACCCACTCGCCAAATGAAAAGGATCGGAATCGTCAAACCAACTGCTCGAGATTCCAGCGATGATCCCGCGAAGCGCCCCGGACTTCTCGCATGCTGCGAAGATCCCAAAAGTCGCCTTGCGCCCTGACCCACGCCCCACCGAGCCAGCCTCCCGGGGCCGCTTAAGGGCCGAGGCATGCCCGCGCGAGGGGCGCCCGAGAACAGGGTCAGCACGCGGCCCGCGGAGGCCATCGAGGGCCATCTTCTCGCGCGCAAGGCGCTCAGGGTAAATATTGCGCGGGAATTTCTCTGCCAAAAGCTCACCCTCAGGGCCCGGGGGAACCCCCGGAGGCCTCGGGCAATTTCCAGGGGTCGGCAGGTCGAGGAGGCAGACATTGTCTGGGCCGATCGGCGCCAAGGCGGCCGGTTCACCGCCATGCGCGCGCCGGGCGCAGAGCTCAGCAAGCGCCCCCGCGCCGCAGAGATGGGGGGGGGGCGGGGCCAATGCGACCCGCCGCGCGACGGATGAGGCGGAAAGCCTCGCGCTGAGCCGCGCTAGGATAGGCGGGCCCCACTCCCGCAGGCCCCCCAGAAAATGATCCCAGTGCGACCCGACCTAGGAGTTGGAGCCCCTAGGAAAGCAGCATGAGTAGCAACAGTAAAGCTAAGCTAAAGCTAAGCTAAAGCTAAGCTAAAGCTAAGCTAAAGCTAAGCTAAAGCTAAGCTAAAGCTAAGCTAAAGCTAAGCTTTAGATAAACTAAAGCTAAGCTAAAGCTAAGCTGAAGCTAAGCTAGAGCTAAGCTAAAGCTAAGCTAAAGCTAAGCTAAAGCTAAAGCTAAGCTGAAGCCAAGCTAAAGCTAAGCTAGAGCTAAGCTTTAGCAGAAACTAAAGCTAAAGGTAAAGCTAAAGCCCCCAGGGGACTGGGGGAACCGCTCCGAGGGGACTGGGGGAACCGCCCGGGGCGGGTTGCACTGCCCGGCCCCTTTAAGCTACCCCTCTAGGCAAAGCCCAGGTAGGAAAAAAGCTGATGGAGGCTCGAGGCGATACCCTTACGAAGCTGAGCCGAGCGGGCCCGGCGAAGATGGCGCCTGCGAACTGGCCGGGGCAAAACTGGCGAGGCGGGGCCCACCTCGGGCAGGCAGTGGAGAGGGGGAAGGAGGTTACGCTGCCGCTCAGCACTCGACTCGAAGGGCATGCCGAAAGAGGTAGGACACCGCGTCGCAGCGCAGTCGATCGCCTCTCGGTCCAGCACCGGACTAGAGGCATCGCCCGGGCCGCTGCTTGAAGTCGCCATTGTTTCTTGAGGGGCGCAGCCCGCTCCTCTCTGGCTGTCTGACCTGTATTAGAATCGCTGCATCCTCCTAGACTTCCCGGGCGACGCGGTCCAACGAAGCGGGGCGCGTCATTGCTGATCCGGTCTTTGTCGAGGCCAGAGAAGATCGCAGCCTCATCCATCAGCCCGACGAAGGTCACGGTCGAACTGCGAGGCGTCTTGTCCTTGTTGCCGCTCTTCTCAGCGGCGCCCATCGAGTCCACCCAGTAGACGTACTCTATGAGCTGAGCCTTGCGCATGAGGGATTCGATGCCAGCCAGATCACAGATGTTGGCCCCGTCGCAGCAAGCCGCCCCCTCAAGAACACGGAGAGCCGTCGCATGCATCTCAACCCCCCAGGGGCCCGGCCCGAGCGAGGACACACTGACGAACTGCCGACGATGAGCCACAACAGACGGAGAGCGGCGGTCCAACCACTCAGCACACCATTTCACTGTCCGAGGGCCTGGCACCGTCCACGTTGAGCACGGGCTCTCGTCCAGCTCCTTTCAGACGTCGTTCCAGCCGCGGCGAGGCCGCGCGAGCACGTGGGCCGAGCCGTCCAAGATCCGCGGGTTTCGGACCGACTCCAGCGTCGCGAACACCCCGGCGTCCATGGCGTGGATGTTCCGCAAGGCCACGCTGAGGCCAGACGGCGTCTGCACGATCGCCAGGTCACCCTGCGCCACCGCGTTCGCCAGGGGCAGGACCGTCTCACCCCGCTTGGCGAAGGTCGTTCTCTCAATGACCACCCAGTTCAGAGCCAGGGTAGCAGGCGCGCCGACAGCGGTTCCAGCCAGCGCAGCAGCAGGCGCCGCCGTCCCAGGCGCCGCCGGCAGCAAGGCTCCGGCGCCGGCGCCATGCGCCGCGGGCGCGGGTCCAGCAGCGGCAGCGCCGTCGACGCCATCGGCGGGCAGGGGCGCCACACAGCCGGCCGCAGGCGCCACAAACGGTTGGCCCGCCACAGCCGCCTCGGACGCGAGCGCCGCCGCAGCGCAGGTCTCACCGGCCGCCTGGAAGGCCGTGATCCCCGCAGCAGTCGGAGCGCGCCTGAAGCGGAAGCTGTCCTGAGCAGTGATCCCGGGAGGCCGACTCCGATCCGAACACACACGAATGGCCGCGATGTCGGCCGACATGCCCGAATAGTCCCCGTCGTGCACGTCCCCGTCGGGCGTGCAGATGGCGAGGCGCCACTCCTCAATCGGAATCGGGGCCGGTCACCGCAAGCGACCCAACGCCATACGTTGATGCCAGAGCGGGTCGCCGACGTAGAGGACCCACAGCCAGCGGTCGGGCTGCTGAGCCGACATCTGGCGCCGTGGCGGTCTCAGCCGGCGCTCGCCGCGACCAGCTCCAGCGCCAGGCCGCAGCCGCCAGGCAGCTGACACCCACGCCGACGATCACCCCAAGCAGGAGGATCGGGTCGGGCGAAAGGGGGGGATAGCAAAGGGGGGGTTTGAGAATCAGTTCACGTAGCTGACTTCCCCGGCGCCTCCCGGCGCCGGAGGCGGCAATGTATCAAGGAATGGGCGCCTCGGTGGGGCCGAAACCAGCTGCATGCAGCAAATTTCGGACCCCCCCCCTTTCCCAATGCCCCCCTTTCGTCCGGCCCGAGAGGACGAACGCGAGCCACTCGGCGCCCACTCCGCCGGGACCGACGGCCTCGTCCTGAGCGGCGGCGGCCGCAGGACACTCCTGCACGATCGGCGCCGGCGCTCCTGGGTTAGATCGGGTGCGTCCAAGACCTCTCGCACCCCCAGGAAAGCCCGAAAAACTCAAACCGAATCTCGCCGAGAGAGAAAATCTCAAACCAGATCTCAAACCAGATCTTGCCGCGAGAAAATCTCCAAACGGATCTCCGATGAAATCTTCCGAGACACTTTGGGGCCCAGGAGTCCTGGGCAGGCGGGGCACGCCGCGCAGGGATGGGCACGGGTGCAGGGCCGGCCAACTGCGGCAAGCGGGGCCAGGCGGCGCCGATGGGCACTGCGAGAGGTAGGATACAGTAGTCTGGGACGCGTACTCCAGATTTCGTAATAAAGGGGAGGGGGGTCTCATTTCGGGGGGGTCTCTTCCAGGCTATCCTGGAGGGCCTTGGGGGGTCTGGGGACGATGTTTTGGAGGGTTCTCCCACGGGGGAGGTCTGAAATGACTTGTCTTGGAGGGTCCAGGCCCCCTCCCGTGTATTACGAGATCTGGGGTATCCGAGGTGGGGGGCGATGGCGGCCAGCATGGGGCGTGGGCCCGTTCAGTCTTGAAGGCAACGATGTTCTGGGCGCGGCCCTCGACTGCATTCGGAGGCAGACCGTTCGCAATGTGAACAGAGGCCAATATACACACAGATTGAAACCGCGCGGGGGCCCAGCCATGGCATGTCCCGTAGTGGGCCCATCCCTGATCATCCCTGCTCCTCCCCCACGCCCGACTCCTGCCCCCGAAGACAGCCTTCCAGACTGGGCCACCTCACAAGCCCCAAGCCTGACATTCCAACCAACTTGCTGAAAAGTGCCACTGCCTTGGGCAACGCCGGCCTTGCTTACCTTGCACTCTTGAAATAAACGGGTGGTTATGTCACATCCCTTCTCTAAAAACTCGGACGCCGTGGCCGAATTGGTGACGTTGGTCGTGGCAAATATTCAGAATGCGCCCAAACCGCGGCTCACTGTCCGATCCTTTCGACCACGTCCCAAGACGCCTGCTTTTGCCCTTCCGCGCTGCCAATTCCTTCTTCTCCTGCTGGATGCGCTGCATTGCTGAACAACGACTGCGCCGTGGCCCGTGCGTCTGGGTCCTTGGGATCTTCGCCCGACCGAACTCGGCACGAAGAGCAGCACGAACAGCACCATGAACTTCCACCTTGACCGCGTCGCCGCCGCCGCTGCCAGCCGCGCCCAGCCCCGGTGCCTGCCCAGCTCCCGCCGCGGGGGCCGCTGAACTCGCGGCGGCGGCTGCGCCTCCGCGCTTGAGGGCGGGCGCTGGACCTGGCTTGGGCTCGGCGGCCTCTTTCGCCGTCCTGAGGACGTCCTCGTCGAACCACGGGCTCCTCCTCCTCCTCCTCCTCCCTCCTTCCTTCATTCCTTCCTTCCCTCCCTCCATCCCTCCCTCCCTCCCTCCCCTCCCTTCCCCTCCCCTCCCCTCCCCTCCCCTCCCTCCCTCCATCCTCCCTCCCTCCTCCTCCTTCCCTCCTCCCCCTTTCTTCCTCCTCCTCCTTCCCTCCTCCTCCTCATCCTCCTCCTCCTGGTCCTCCTTCTCCTCCTCGCGTCCTCCGTTTCCTTCCTCCTCCTCCTCCTCCTCCTCCTCCTCCTCCTCCTCCTCCTCCTCCGTGTCACACGCGTGCGTCTCTGTTTCCTTCGCTCCCGGGGGAGGGGGCGGGGGCGCTCCCGAGGCGTCGGCCCTGTGCTCGCCCGACTCCAGCTCGGCCCGCAGGAAATCCTTCAGCGTGGGCCGAGCGGCCTCCTCCCGCAGGAAGGCGGCCTCGGGGGCGAGAGGGGGGGAGCGGAGGGGGCGAGAGGCAGGCGGAGGAGGAGGCGAGGATGAGGAGGAGGCGGAGGGGGAAGGGGAGGGGGAGGTGGAGGGGGCGAGAAGGGAGAGGCGGGGGGGGCGGGAGGGGGAGGCGGAGGGGGCGGGAGGGCGGATGGGGAGGCGGAGAGGGCGGGAGGGCGGAGCGGGGGCGGAGGGAACGGGGGGCAGGCGGAGACGGCGAGAGGTGGGGGGGAGATGGCGATGGCCCCGCCGGGCGCTGAAAGCATCGTGACCACCAACGCCGGCGCGGAAATTGCGGCGAGGAAGGACAGATAAGGACAGAGAGAGAGAGAGAAAACAACAACAAAACTAAACAACGAGAGAGAGAGAAGGAGAGCGAGCGAACGAGCGAGCGAGCGATGTGTATGCAAACCAATGAGAGGGTAAATTGAGAATGGGTGCAAATCGGCGCAGGACGACGGGGAGGAGGAGGATGAGGAGGAGAAGGAGGAGGACAACCGCGAAGATGACGGGGGATGCGCAGGAAAAGCAGGAGGGGATACGGAAGGACGCGGGGAGGTGGCGGAAATAGGGTGATGGAGGGGGAAGCGAGGATAGTGAGAAAAGGGGGATGGAGAAACAAAATGATTTGAGGCAGCTCGTCTTGAGAACTCACGTCATCTTGACCCCCCGCGCGCGCGAAGGAACGGGCCCGACAACCACCCCCCTTGTCCCGCTTCGGGGAAGACTGAGAACTCCGGTCACGCATTCCCAACTGGCGCCCTGTAAAACAAGGCTAGGATCCGGATAAATCGCTCCAGAGCGTTCCGGAGCGCTCTCAGAGCGTTCCGGAACGCTCTGGAGCGGCCGCGGCGCCCAATACATTCTCCAAACCCGCCGATTCTCAGAGATTTCGAGTCACCCCGATCCGATTCTGCCCCGATCTTCGCGTCGTTTTACCCTGGCGTGGGACATCCTCAGGAAACCGGCCCCCCGAGCCTCCCCGAAGGAGGTCCTCGCTCGAGGCAGCCTGCCAAAGTCGACCTCCGGCGCGCGAGGAAAGGCGGGCCCCGCATTGCTATACTGCAGGGGGGCCACTCCCCCGGGAGCAGCCGGCGGCTGCCTGGCTTCCGATGCGCAGGCAGGACGGAGGGTGAGCGGGAGGGAGGAGAGCCGAGAGAAGGAACCGCGGGGGGCAGGGCGGGAGGGAGGAGCAGAAACCGGGGAGTGGCCAGGAGGAGACAGAGGGCGGAGGGGAGGGGGAGGAGGAGGGGGAGGGGGGGGGGGACGGGTGAGGACTCTCTCCGCCGCGTTCGCGGCCACGCGCAGTGGGGACGCGGCGGGCGGCGGCCTACGAGAAAGGGCCCGCGCCCGCGCCGAGCGCCCCGGAGATCCCCCCGGACCGGACTCGGGGTCTCTGGGGCCCCGCTGCCAGGAGGAGGAGGAGGGGGAGGAGGAGGGGGAGGAGGAGGAGGAGGAGGAGGAGGAGGAGGAGGAGGAGGAGGAGGAGGAGGGGGAGGAGGAGGGGGAGGAGGGGGAGGAGGGGGAGGAGGAGGGGGAGGAGGTTGCGCGCGCGCCCGAGCAGCTGCAGTGCGGCGCCGCGCCCCCGCCCGCCCGGCCCCGCCGCCCGACGCCTCGGGGCTCCTCCGCACGGCGAGGGCACTGGACAAGGAACCAGCGGATAAGTCAGAGGAGGGTGAGGTACCCATACCCCAGATTTCGTAATAAAAGGGAGGGGGTCTCAACCCTCCCAGACGAGAAGTTTTAGACCCCCCCCCGTGGGAGAACCCTCCAAAACATCGTCCCCAGACCCCCCCAGGCCCTCCAAGATAGCCTGGAAGAGACTCCCCCCGAAATGAGACCCCCCTCCCCTTTATTACGAAATCTGGAGTACCTCTACACTCCCCCCATTTTCGCCTGTTTGCGCCTCCTGGGAGGCCCTCGTCGCCCCGCGGATTCGCCTCGAGATCCTGGTCAGAACGCACCCCGGGAGAGGTCCGGGAAGCAGCAGTACGGGTACCTTTTTGGTTTCCCCGACATACCCAGGGCCTGGAAGCCAGTGGACATCCTGCAGGTGGGCCGGGCAGGAGTATCCCCGGCGCCCTCCTCGGACGAGGCGTCCCCCCGGGCCTGCAGCCTCCCGGGCACATCCCTCGACCGACGTCCCCACCGCACGGGGCATCCGGAGGTCTGGACCTGCTCCCCGGGGCCGGCTCATCGGCCCCAGTGGTTTCAGGTCGGGCATGTCCTCCTACAGGAACAGGAGCAACTAGTCCACAAAAATAAGCAAAGATGGTCAAAAGAGCACGAGCCATCGTCACAATCTTATCTTTAAGCAAGTCTTGAACACTCCTCCTGCAGAGGGACATGCCCGACTTGAGAATAGTTTGTTGACGGCCCTGGGGCCCAGCGAGGGCCCCCCGGGCCGAAAACTGTGAGAAACCTACGCCTCGAGTTTCTCGAGGCGTTGGAGGTCTGGGGGGGGGGAGGGGGCGGCGCCGCGCGGCGAAGCGCGCCACCCTCGCCAGGCCCGCTGGCGCCGTGTCACGGCACATCCGACGCCGTGAAGGTCGGCTCCTCGGCCATGTCCTCGTCGTCCGTGGGCTCGAAGAGGGCGGACTGGGGCTCGAGGTCCGCGTCCTCTGGGGCTCCGCTCGGCTCCGCTCCAGCCCCTCCCCCCCCCCCCCACGGCCTCCCAGGAGGAGAGGAGGTGGGAGCGGGGGCGGGAGTCGAGGGATGGCCCCAGTGTGCCCGCACCAAAGGTCACTCCAGCGAAATATCATTATGATGAGTAGCAGGGAAAAAAGGAGCTCTTGGAGACAGTTTAGAGGCCTCTTGGGGGCCGGTTTAGAGCCTTTTGGGGGCTTTGGGGGGCCTCTTGGGGACCTCGTGGGGCCTCCTGGGCGCTTTTGGGGGTTTCCTGGGGGCCTCTTTGGGCAGAAGGCTGGGACTTTCGGCTCGTGTTCCCTCGCCTGGGCCCCTTTTGGGGGGCCGCCTGGGGCCCCTCTTGGAGCGCTCCTGGGCAGCATTCGGGCTCTCTTGGAGGCCCCTTGGGCCGCTTTGGGGCCCTCGCAGCGGGCGCCCGTTGTGCAGCGGGCGCCCGGGCGCGCCAGGCGGCGCCGCGACGCCTGCCGCGCGACGGGCCGCCGGCGGGCCCGCGCGCGCAGGGGCGGGCAGCGGCGGCCCAGGCGCAGCGCAGCGAGCGCGCGACGCCCCGCGGCCGCGGCGGCGGCACTTGGTGGACGAGAGCAGAGGCGGCAGCACCCCTCTCCTGCTCCTCCTCCTCCTCCTCCTCCTCCTCCTCCTCCTCCTCCTCCTCCTCCTCCTCCTCCTCCTCCCTCCTCCTCCTCCTCCTCCTCCTCCTCCTCCTCCATTCCTCCTCCTCCTCCTCTCCTCCACCTCCACCTGCTCCTCCTCCCTCCTCCTCCTCCTCCTCCTCCTCCTCCTCCTCCTCCTCCTCTTCTCCTCCTCACTCCTCCTCCTCCTCCTCCTCCTCCTCCTCCTCCTCCTCCTCCTACTCCCAGAGGATCCTTTTCTCAAAAAAAACGAGAAACACATAGAAACCAGAAACATTCTCATTTTGACAACAAAAAACAAGAAACCAGAAATACTATTGATGTCCGATATAATGTCAAGAAAAAACACATTCTGATGTACTTACACTCGTGCATTTCATAAGTTCACATACACAATATGCACACACATACAGCCACGAATAGAATTTACACGCCTGGTTATCACGCTGACGTGCGTGAGCGTAACATATATACATATATATATATGTATGATATGAAGCGTTTGTTCATGACTTTGGTTCCCCATTGGTGCGCGGAGTCGAGGTGACTTACGTCAAAAATTTGGACCACCCCTCCCTACCCCCTTCTGTTCTTTCAATGTTCTCGCTCCCCCTTTCGGGCCCCAGCTCGGTTAGCGCCGCCAACGTCCAGGCATCAGGGGGCGGCCAACCCGCTGGCCTCGAGGCTCAAGTACCCGCTGGCCTCGAGGTGCACGCCCACGATCGGCCGCAATGGCAGAGGTCGAAGGGATGGAATCGACGAAAGGGGGTGGAAAAGAGAGAAGTAAGTTTCGGGTAGGTTTCGGGAGGTTTCAAAACACATATCAGTTTTTTCCCTTCGTGTGGCCTGCTCGCATCGTCAGGGGGTCGGGCACGAAAAATCTAAGATTCCAGCCCCTTCCGAAGGTAGCCGACAGCTGGACCGTTTGCGACTCATTTACATTCAGAGATATGGGCAGCACGTTGAGCGAGCACGGAGTCGAAGTGATTAGCAGTGACGAGTCCGAGGCTGAGGGGAATATCCCTGCGGAAAAGATATGTATATATGCATCGAGGGGGGATCGAGGGGGGGCAACGGGAGCGGCCGCCCCCATGAAGGCACCGACTGTGGCCGCTACTACCGAGGAGCTCGATGCGGCGCTGCCCGAGCAGGCGCGGCGGGAGTACGAGACGCGGCGGGAGGCCGACACGCGGCGGGAGGCCGAGACGTTGCGCTACGGGGACAGCGCGGCGGCAGCGGGCGGCGAGAGCGGCATCTTCGACCCCAGGTTCCCCGACAACCAGGAACCACCTTTTTCTTGCTGCCTCGTATTCCTCATCCTCGGCCGCCTCAGCCTTTCAGTCCAGCTAGTGTCACAAGTATCGTTGTTATCCTCGAGGGGTCCTCCTCCTCCTCCTCCTCCTCCTCCTCCTCCTGCTCTTCCTGCTCTTCTGTCCTCCGGACTTACGACGTCGGAATCGCGAGGGCAATTGCCCACGGTGAACTTTGCATAGGTCAGGTTGTGTCTTCTAGATGTTCTCATCGCCCTCCCGTGCCCTCCCGCCCTCTTCAACCGACCAGACATAGTGATGCCTTCTCCTGCTGGCCCCGACCCTCGACGCCCGAATCATTACTACCCATCTTTCCGTAACCATTTTGGCTCAAGGAGTTGTGCATTTTAACAACTTCGCTTGCACCAATGGTGACGGAGAGAACATTGACGGCCGCCATCAGAAAGTACGCCACGAGAAACAATTTCTTCAAATACGACGCCGACTCTGGAGTGCAGCGTGATGCCATCGAGAAGTACAAGGATCTCCTCAAAGATATCGGCGAGGTGCCGAGGGAAAACGTCGCACCAACATTGGGAAATCACTGACGATAATGAGGAGGACGGGTGGAGGGGTGGGAAACGAACGAGGAGAAGACGAGGGGATGGACAACCGAAGGTGACGTAGAGGCTTCGATCACATGTAGGGCAGGCCAGAGAAAAATCGGAGGAGGAGGAGGAGGAAGATGGATTGAGAGTTGTAGAGTATACCATGGGGGTGCGACGTTCTCTCCGATAGGTTGAGCCCACCCTCCACATCAAGAGAAAGACGTGGATTGCGTCTCTCAGCGCGCTTGCCGACGCCACCAATTCGAAGCTGACGTTCGAGAATGCTAGGGAGCATCAGGATTGGGTCAAAGAGATGACAGCCAGATTCTCGGCGGCGGTCAAGCATTGCAAGAGCTACACGACGAAGATGGCGAGAGACGAGGCCCCCAAGTGGTACGTGGCGCTCGGCATCGGGACGCCTCCGACGGGAGCAACAGCTAGAAAGAGACCTGGTGGGCGCGATGGCCACGAGTCGGATGCCGACGAGGACGAGGAAGACGAGGGGGAGGAGGAGGAGGAGAACGAGCCCGATGAGGCGGAGGACACAGATGCCGAGGAAGCGGAGGGCGATACCAACGGCCACGGCAAGCGCAAGAGCATGGCGAAACCAGCTGCGTCTGAGGCGCCGCTGGGGTCGGCCAGCAGCGGTGGAGCAGCCGAGGAGAAGTCCGAGTACATCTACCAGTGGGATCACCACATGGAGCTGGCCTATCGTACAAAAGCGTCGGCCAAGCGCAGCGACCATCCAGAATGGGCAACCAAGATGGTTGAGCCAGAGTCGGCCAAGCTGACAGATCCGATGAACGCCGTCTTTAAAGATGGCACGGTACGACCTATACCGCAGATAACGGTTGCCAGTTGGCGCAACGCGCAGCCAGCTGGAGGCGCAGGTGGCAGTGGCAGTGCACCTCGAGCTGATGATGCTGCTACCAAGCCCAAGGCCAAGGCCAAGGCTAAGAGTGGCAACACCAAACGAGAGATGTTCACGGGCCAAGACACGTCAGGCAATAATGTATGGGTCGATCTGAGGACCGACAAGCCGAGGGGTAAGCCAGTCGACCGCCTGTGCCTGGTAAAGTGGGACGGTGGGATAACGCCCCAGTTGGTGCAGGTGAACGTCAAAGTGTTCGAGGCCGCCGACTGCCAGGAGGAGTCGCAGATGGAGGACCAGGCAGTGGACTGGTGCACGGATCTAGCGAAGCGGTTCTGCGCTGGGGAGATCGACAAGGTCAAGATGGGGAATCTCAAGAAAGACCTGCTCCAAGTCAAGGTGGACGCGCCGTGGGTGGCGAAGATGAGGCGGCCCGCGGCGGCTGCGCCTGCACAGTCCGACCCCCCTGCCTCTAGCTTGAAGCGGCGCCCAGCTGGGGCGACGCCCGACGCAGAGCCCACGCCTAAATCGCCCAAGGTGGCGACGCCGCCAAGGACACCGACCAAGCGCGGCAGTGCAGCTTCTAGCACGCACGTGCCGATCCCACCGCCGCCCATCGGTAGTGATTCAGACTAGGGCGTGCCACAGGAAAAAAACATCGAGCCAACCAAGGGGGATGTGTAGGGGCGGGGAGAAAAACTCAACGTGTCAGGTAAAACACGAGAAGGAGGGAGGACGGGGCCCGTGCATGGAGAAGGGGGGATTGAAGGTGCCACATAAGCGGGTAGCAGGAAGAGAAGGAGTAGTAATTGTAGTCGTAGTTGTTGCGGTAAGCGGAGTGGTAGTAGTAGCAGTAGTAGTAGTAGTAGTAGTAGTAGTAGTAGTAGTAGTAGCAGTAGTAGTAGTAGTAGTAGTAGTAGTAGTAGTAGTAGTAGTAGTAGTAGTAGTAGTAGTAGTAGTAGTAGTAGCAATAAGAACAATATAACAATAACAATAATCGTACTAGTACGTGTAGTTGTAATTGCAGGAAGAAGAGTACTCTGGCCCGCAAATTGCAAAGAGTGGAGCCCTCATACTCTCACACGTGCACCCTCGTCACCGACCTCGCCCTAATTACAGCTCCCACCCCGCCCGCGCACCAGAGGCGTTCCCAAGCCTGTGACTTCTCCGACTCACCCCTCGATTCTCTCCTTCATGATCCCTCCCACCTTAGCCCTCCCTCCCTCCCCCGTGCATTCAATTATCTCCCATGGGTCTGGCTCTTTTCTTTGCTCGCGCCCCGCCTGCTCAGGAGGGCTTGCAACTGTCGCAGCATCATCCAGCAGATGGCGATCACCAAGCAGAGCCCCAGTCGCTGGAGCAGATGCTCGGAGAGGAGCTCTCTAGCCAGCGCAAGGAGTTGAACGCTGTGACTGTGGGAGCGCATCGCTTAGCGGCGCCCCGAGAACCCTCAACCGCCTTTGGCCCCCCCCATCCGACTCCTCATAGTCCGCTCATTGTTCCTCCTCATGCTCGTCTTCGAATTCCCTGACTCCCTTCCGAGCCCCTTCATCCTACAACCGTGCCCTCGATCGCACCGTTCGGGATTTGGTAGTGGTAGAGTAGTATGGGGTTA